GCGCATGAGGCTCCTTATAATTCACGGCGGTGTCGATTGTATCGTGACTGGAACACGGCAGTTCGCTTTAAACCAAGAGAATTCGAAAGACCCATAAATTAACGGCAATGATTGTTTATTACAAATACGGTTATCACTATTCTCCCCCTCATCCCCACCCCCATAAACACAAGTATACGCACACGCACGCGCACATCGACTAACGAGAATACTATGCAAAAATTTCCATTTGTTTTAATTAATAATTCTTATATCTTTATGCTCAATCGACGAATTAAGCCGAGATTACATCTTCAATTTTATAACTTTTAAATTAGTTTTCGAGTTAAATTTAAAGCCCATGAGTAATTATTATGTTGCGTAATTTTATGGCAAAAAAAAAATGTCGGTTGTTGGTTCGTTTTTATGTAATAATGAGGATTAGTATTAAGCATTATATTTATTGTCAATATGTTTAACCATTAATGTCTCGTGCCTACGTAAATAAATTAATTGTAAAATTATGAAATGCGAAGTATATTATCTGTAAAATACAATTCCTACAATATTTCTCATCAATGAAATATTTTCTTTTCACTTGCAAATGTTTATACGTACGAATGTAGATTGACTCTCTTTACTTTCAAATGAAGCGCGATGATTCAACACAATTACAGTGTAACTCGAAATGAAATTTTTAGTATTAATTATAAAAATAATACATCCACGAAGTAATAATTATAACCATTGAAATACATTCTTAAAACACTTCGGTATATATATAAACACTAATATATATATATATATATATATATATATATATATATATATATATATATAATTATAGATGGTGAAATACTTTATGATAGTATATAATTCTTTAATCATACACTTTGTTTAACTATACATACAATAAATATAAATTTGGCGATAATTATGTTGAATGATTAAATGAGACATTACAGAATTTCTTAAAGTCCGCGTATGACTCCCGAGGTATTTGCAACGAAATAGATAAGTTAAGCTAGTCGGTGCGACCGCAAGTCCGCGGTAAAAAGAAAATACCTCTTTCGCTACTCGGGCGAAGCAGTGTTTCGACTTTTTGATGCAATTGAAGAGCGGCGGAGAGAGAGAGAGAGAGAGAGAGAGAGAGAATGAAAGAATAAAAACCAATTAAAAATCTATTACTCGTGGAAAATTACAGTGCATAAAGTATAAAAAGGGCAAGAACTGGGAACCAGAATAAAAAGTGCTCTTTACAAATCAAATCTCAGCGATATCTCGTGGCAACGTTGCATCGATTATCCATCCGGTTGGCATCTTTTTATCCACGTTGTCTGCCTCTTTTCACAGCCGGTCCTTAAGACCGTTGCACTACTGGTCTTGAAATACCGGTATCTCCTCCCCCCCCCCATCACAATCCCCCTTCCACTGGCGCCTCTTCCAACACCCTCGTTTTCTTTTCTTCCACGTCCTCTCGGCACTTTCTCGATGATGACGCCGAGGACGAGAGCGACTCGAGAGGATGCAATCACGCAGCTCTAGCTTCAACGACACCGTTCATTGTAATTTCGCACCCACTTCTCATCTTTTTACGACCTTCTCGCACTCGCTTCGTCCGTGCATATTGTATAAAAGCAGTACTACTCGCTTTCTTCGAGAGCCGAAAAGTACGTTAATCCATGGGTATTGAGTATGACGAATCAACCGTTGACCAAGTCATTGCGGCTTTTCCTTTTGCAAGAGATGTAGTTTAGATTTTATTGGATTGCACCGACGGACGGTATCTAATTTACTACGTAATATTTTTTTGCAAAGAATTAATTATTTCGTTTTAAACCTTTGGGCCTATTATGAATTTGTCGCTTATCATTTTTTGTAAAAGTAATTATTATGACAAAAACAAAAAACAAACAAGAAAAGAACAAAGTTAGCTGGAGCCCGGTGAGATATATAATTTGGTATAAAAAGATTAAGAAATTCTATCAGTTGGCATAATCGTTTTAGAAGTAGTGAGCGTAACTTAGGTATACACATGCACGGGTCCACGAATATATTCAAACATTTAAACAAGAACGGTAATAATGCAAATCAAATTTTAAATGCAAAAATTACAATGCAACTTGTATATGGAATTATTTTGCAAATTATCCTTCATTGTTTAAAAATGTTGTCAAGTTATGCGATATGTTGTCAAAGTGTAAGCGCTGTCTGAATGTTTCGTCACCAACTTATGTAAAGTACGCGTAGCTTATGATAAGGTTGGTATTACCGCTTATAATTATCAAGACACATTTTACAGTATACGTAGGCTTCATTTGAATGTACCATGGGCAAGACAACAATAGCTAATACAATCTCGTAACATTGTTATATGTAGCCAATAAGCAATTACTTTATTGCTTGAACTGCGAATTATTAATCTAGCTAAAGTAGTATCTCGCGGAAAGTCTACCGAAAGACGAGAAATCGAAAAAAATGTGTTTCGCAAGCCCATAGTACCGTTAATGCTTGCCGGCCGTTCGACGGTAAATTATCGTAATTGCACAACTCGCGCCCATAATCGCGAGCCCTACATTTATTTCTTCATTTGCAAGTTTGTTATATCTCACGCCGGGACAACGTATTTCTACCACAAGCTCATGCACACGGACGATCGTGCACGCATTAATTGAAGCAGTATAAAGTGCCGGAAAGGTGCCCGGACTCTTTGATTTACGCTCATAACTACTCTTGGCACTGACCGGAAGAAAAATTGCGCGCATAATGTGCGCGCGTGTTCGTGTCCCGCAGCAAAGGCGCGATCTTGTCAAATATTTTCCGCTTATGTAAGATCGAGCACTTCCGCGCGCAGACGCTCATCGAGGAACACAGACGCATCACGCTTACTTACTTGGCTCTATCTCTCTCCTCCTCATCCTCCTCATCCTCCTCTTTCTTCTGCTCCTGCTCCTCCCCTCCCCTCCCCGCCCCCGTTCCTATTGCAACTTGCAGAAGTGAGTGAAGCGGGTCAATGCACTGGACAACTTGCTCGCAATGCGTAATTATTCGCAATTGGGATTGCTAAAATTGACGTATTGTTCTTTAGTGACTCGTACATAGATTTCAATTGAATTCTTTGAACAGTATTTATCTGACGAATGTAATATATGGGCGCACAAGCTCTACTCGTATACGGTTCATTAGCCTATTTTGAGCTTACTTGGATTAACTCATAATTTTGTCTGTAATCCAAGAGAAATTAACTTCTGCCGTGGAAACAAAAAACCCACTGTATGTAATAATAGTATTAAAAGCACGAGAAAGTGACTCGGAAGAAATGTGCTTTCCGCCCAGAGTTTGATATAAAAAGTTATTGAAACAGATTAAATAATCTAAGACCACTTTTCCTTATTTCTAATTATTTACAAGATTTTTCATTCAAATAGCTCAGTGGCGAGGATTAATTTTGTAAAATCATTATTGCTATTAAAGAGTATCGCCATCATCAATTCTCGTAATTTTACTTTTGTGTTATTTTCATTCCTCTATACCAGCTATTGCCTAAAGCGAATCCCCAGCCCCTGTCTGTTTGTTTTTATTAATCAGGTAGCCATAGAATTCGCTTCTTCTAAAGTAGACAAATCAGCACTTTCCTTACTCGTAGAGTATCGGATTATTTGAAATAATAGCACTTGAAATTGATGGCCAAGACGAGATTTAGAGCGCACAAAAGTTTCATAGCTAAAAGCTTGTAATATGTAGTAGAAAAAATAACGCAATAAGCGTCGTGCTTGCTCTTTACGTTCCTTATGCATACAAAAAATAGCCTCCTTGTCTCACAAATTAAGATCTGATAATCGCGCTTCTATACAAAATAAACATTCATCATCGGGGTAGCAGTTGCGCTCGTAATAGCGTCTACGTGGATGTAACGTTGGTTCTCAGCGAGCCCTCCGCGATAATACGATTCACTGCTCCCGCGTGCATAAATCCAGCAGATCAGTGCGCCGGCTTCGGCACCGTAAAAAACCAATGAAACACGTGAACGGCAGTAGCCGCAGCCCAGGAAGTGCAGTCTATATGGGCGGTAGCCTTTGAAAAACCCAGGAGAGAAAGATGGATAGATAGGTGGAGAGATAGATGGAGTGAGTGAGCAGGAGCGAGAGCGCGCGCGCGCGAGAGATGGCGAGTGATGAGGAGGTGGAGGGGAGGAGGAGGGAATCGGCCAACGTCCGATTATTCGCTTGGATGATTTGAATCTTGATTTACCGGCCGATCGCCGTGCTCCCGGTTTCGCCTTTGACTGATTTATGACGATTACGCTTCGTTTTAAGCCGCAAAGAAGCAGTGGATCGTGGAGTCTGAGAAGGGTGAGGAGGGGAGGGGGAGAGCACGCGCGGACCCTTAAGGAAAATTTAGTCCTGGTCATTCGTTGGTACCATCGAGTTGGTTGGTTTATCCGATCTTAACGATGTCGTTAGCGTTAAAAACTCGCGACCCATGGCAGTCTCATTTTACATTTACGACTGTACCATTTAATGCTGTGTGCTGCATCCGTTCCATCATCCTTTATACTCACACTGTATCCTTTTTTCCTTTTTCTTTTTCTTTTTCTTTTTCTTTTTCTTTTTCTTTTTCTTTTTCTTTTTCTTGTCCTTCTATTTAAACATTATAAAAAGTCAAAGCTTTTGAAATTTGTTGGAAACTGTAGCACTGCAATAGGTATAATCAGATCTCAAGACTGGAGAATTATTAAGAAATTCAAGAGCTTCTGGGCCGAAAGGAATTTCATTTTGTTCGCTCCTTCCTTAACCGGATATTTCTTCTCAAACCACACTTACGAGAAACCTCTACGAATTCTAATATTTTCTGCATATTACGACAACTGGCAGGGCAACGCGCGGGAAAAATATGCCTGGCCAAAGAAAAGCAACCGCCCACGTGTGCGAGAGCGAGTTTCCCTTTGGAGCGTATAAGTTGCACAAAGAAATAAATCACGTATACGGATAATCTGAGGTTCGTCTTCGTTCTGCTTTCAGGCTGTGAAGCTAGAGTCGGTCCACCCAGGCAGAACGCGCTACCTCGTGGTGGTCTCGTGCACGGGACGACAGGACGCCGAGGAGAGCTGCCTCCTGGGCATAGACTGCAACGATCGCGCTACTGTCGGACTCGTCCTGCGGGTCTTGGCCGACACCGCCATTACTCTAGACGGCGATGGGTGAGTATCCACATTGGCTTATTTTAAGCGCCCTATGAGGAAGCGTCGACATTCTTTTAGCCAGGTACACCAACCTGAAACGGAAGATCCTCGAACAATGAGTTTTTTGCGGAAATTTAACGCGGGGGACTGCTCGACTACTAGATTCTCGATGCGATAGTCCTTTTAAATGTAAACAAGTGGACAAAATGCCGTTTGAGAACAGTTTAGGAATTTCTATTAGCGGGCTACTTCCATACGCAAGTAGCTACTTGTTAAAACCTTGAATTAACGTCTGATTCTTTTAACCTTTACATTATCACGCAATTTTTAAACTAATATCAAATTAAATGACAACTTACGTAATCTTGTAGTTGACGAAGTAAATTATGATAAATAGTGAAAATATCAGGCATGTTATTAATCATTATATAATGTAATTATGATTAGGAACAAGGATTTGATTTCAATTTTATTGTGGAAAAATACGCATTTATTTCCGTTTTTTTTCTCGAAAAACATGCGCCGACGCGCATATAGATATATATTTATTTAAAATACATACATATATATATATATATATATATATATACGTAAATATTCAATTTGTTCGAATATTGATTTACTATATAAATTTAAAAAATATATGTCTAAGCATTCATTTGTATTTTAATATACAACAAATATAAATTTCATAGATACATTCTTTAACAATATTAAGCAAGAATATTTTCGTTTATTCTAAAAATGACAATATTCTTTTAAATTAAACTTCATTCAAAATTGGTTCAAACCTAATATGCTTCTAAATTTCCGTATATATTTCTGTCTTTTATTAATTATTTTATCAAATGAATTATTAAAATTAATTAATGCGAATTATTAGCCAACCGACATGTTCTTTTTTCTATTCAGATTATGTTATGCTATTTAACGTATTTTATTACAATATAGTAAAAAAAAAGATTTAATTATTAACGAATAACTATTCAGAGAAAGAGGGGGGGGATGTTAAATGTATTTAATTGGCAAAATACATAAATATTCTTTTACAAAGAATTCATTTATTAATAATCCATTAGCATTCGTCATAAAAATGAGACTTTTTACAGCCACATACTTTGATAATATTATTATGAAATACATTTCCAATTATAAATTATGGAATTCTAATATAATAGATACTTTTAATATAATATTTATTATGCACTTTTAAATACTTTTAAGTACTTCAATGTACTTGTTGTTTTATTATTTCAATAGCTGTCCATTTATCTTTGTAACATCCTTTATTTCAACCAGATCAATTTTTGAATGGAGAAAAGCCTTTGCGATTGCACAAATTAAAGATGCTAATTTATCTACTTCGGGCAGATGTCAATAAGCTTCAATACTAAGTAGACCGAGCACATGTCTATCTATGAACTCGTCGGAAAACGGAGCGAATGTGATTAGAGAGAAAGGGAGGTAAGACGTCGGGAGTATCGACGCATCAGCGGCGTGCGCGATCCTTTTATTTTTCTCAGATTAGCTCCTTTTGATAAATGCATTACTTTCTCTCTTTTCTCAATGCATCTGTTCGAACGTCACGACCGTTTGATTTTGTATGTACCGATTTTTCGCGTTTGATGAATGTCCGTTAATTATTCGAATGAAAAATACTCGGTAAGTGTATTGAAAATGAGGATCGATTATTACCGATAATTACCGATACCTCTAATATATTAGAAAGTTCATTTATAATGGATTCTCATACTTTTCTTCATTTTTACGAATATATGTTTAATTGCGATTAGTGACTGCAATATTTTGCAAGTGAAGAAGAAAGTGTGTGTCCGTGTAGGAATGATGAAGAAAGAGAGAGAGAGAGAGAGAGAGAGTGGGTAAATATTTTAAATAATAATACAAAATGTACGAAATTACTTAAATTGTTAAATCTATTACTCAAAGAATCTTAATGTTGATTTTACTTACATTAAAATATTATCATGTATTTACTATCGGCTATAATACTTTAAAATTACATTATTATTTGAATTACTCGGAAAAAAAAATATTATAAATTATTTGAACAATTTTTTTATGTTTATGGCATTCATTTTTAAATATTTTCGAGGCAATAGTTTTAAAAGTACATTGAATTAAGTGAAATATTATATTAACATTAATTATTAAATTTCAAATAAGTTTTCAAAATGATATAGCATAGAATATTATTTTTGTCATTTATTCTTCATGTATATTAAATTAATTAAACACTCCAATTATTCATCAAGCAACTTTATTAATTCTGATAACGAAATGAGAATTAAATATACTTGAATGTATTAATTACTTTAAGTAGATAACGATGATTGATCTAAAAAGAAAAATTTATTTTTATACAGTACTATTACTAAAAATTAAAGAAAAGTTTTATCGTATAAATTATCATAAAATCTGAATACGTTAATAATTAATGATATAGCTGTCTTATCGTGTTATACATCATGCGAAAAAGTAAATTATATTGCACTATCACGAATTCGGATATCGAATTTGCGTAATTCAGTGAATTGTTCTTTAAACATTTATCATTAGATATCGATAATATTGAGATTGCAGCAAGAGATTAAAATTAAAATTATATATTATACTCAGAATATGTTAGTCGAATGAATGAACAGATAACTATAGATATATTGTAAAGTATAAAGTAAGTGTGAGTATAAAACAATAACATGTAATTTCCATTGATTATTAATGTATCACATTTCTTTACCTTAACGGATCAATTTATAATTCGTATAAATGACGGATATTGACGTTGCCCCGCCGCCAATCCCCTAATAAAAAAAATTTGATAAATTTTTAACCAAAAAAAAAAAATGTTTCTTATATGGATCTTCTCTTTTTTCAACATACGTTGAACTTGTACGATAGCATTTAAAATTCCTTTATTTGAACATAGTTTTATTTGAATATGGTTTCGAAACACAAAAATAACTAACTACCTTTATTACGACAAACAAGTATAGCAAGTGTCAAAAGTAGTTCAGTTATGTAAATGTAATATTATTATGCATAACATTATGAACGATAATGAATAGCTTTAGTTACTCAAGAAGAAAGCTTAACCGAAAAATTACGATATTCTGTCATAACTCGGTGACACGCTAATCCATGTGAGGAAAATATTGTTTTTTTTTTTGTTTTTTTTTTGTTTTTTTTTTTTGTTTTCAAAGAAACCTATAGAAATTAGAGAATGTCAAACTTACAATAAAATATCATAATATTTCGTATGAAAATATTTTACTGTTGAAGAAAATTAAAAAGTAGCTCTACTCAGCTGCTCTTCTTGTAGGCATATATACGTATTATATATATATATATATATATATATATATATACATATAATATTTGCTGGTGCTCATCCTTCTTTCTCTTTATCGCCTCTTGAAGCACTCGGCAGGATGCGACTCATCAACACATCATCAGCGTTATAAGAAGAAGGAGAACAAGAAGAAGAAGAAGAAGAAGAAGAAGAAGAAGAAGAAGAAGAAAAAGAAAAATAAAAGACTAATGCATCTTTGCGGACAATTCAGAGTAAACGATATTGCATAAGCTATGTCGCTCGAGTTGAATGCAAGGCGACGACGAGTCGTTGCTAACTTATTGCAATTGTTGCAACTTTGAGGGCAGTGCTTACATTGTGGACATTAGCCGTACAGTTTCGAGTAGAAGATTGACGAGTAATTGGCTGTTACTACGAGTCGATGCCCGACAATAAGCATAACGACGTCTATACGCTCATGTACACTGCTGTTTTATTATTATCACGTCGTTGAGATTCCACGCTCTGATATTACTTACTGAAAATTGGAACAATATTATTAGATAGGAAGCTAATTGATGACGGTATTTAGTTTGAATAGAAAAAGAAAAAAAAATTCTTAGCTAGGATTGGTTGAAAAAGCAGCGTTTCCGTCTTAGGATCTATGTAAAAAAAAAAAAAGTGAAGATCAAATGAAGTAAGACAATAAATGCTTGGTAATTGAGAATTCACAAATAATGCTTTAAAATATTATCCATCTAACTAATCATTACTATATAATTACTTGATAGATATATAATTGACTATTGATTCATTGCGGCAGAAGTTTAATTTTTTAGAGTGAAATTACATTAATTTGCCGTTAAATTTTCCTTTCAGGATTACATGAATCTATACGCTCTAATTTAATAGAATGTATACTTTAGTTATTTATTAATGTCGATTGATTAGTTACTTGACCTTTACTAATTGCATGAATCGAACTTTATTATAATTCATACGCTTTTTTAAATGTACTCTTTTGTTTGATATATTATTCGAAATTATTATCGATTACTGGTAGACTTGAAAACAATTTAATATTATTTTATTTGTGTAAAAAATGCTAAGAGTGAGTATTAATTTAAGAGAATAAGCATTATTTGGAGATATTGTGTCTTATGGTTTTTGTATATAATTTAACATTCTTTCATCATAATAATGAAGAATATGCTAGTCAAATAATAGAGTTTTAGGACTAGAATTTAGATTCACGAACATGGTTTCATTGAAAATATTAATTTTAGAAACTAGGAAAAAAGTCATTTTTTATTGAAAGTTTGTTTCTTTAACATAGCGATGACAGGCGGCAATGTAATTTGAAGTATAGAAGAGAGAAAAATTGTGTAAACATACTTGTTCAACCGTGGAAAACCAGTGGAAAATTATTTCCTGTTTGGTCGGTTAAAATAACCACGTCATTTTATGAAAAACTGAAATTTATGAAATATATGAAGTTTATGAATTCTGTGTTCACGTATATTTAAACGGTTATATTTGTAAATAAATAATTTAGTAAACCTTCTTTAGTAATATTGAATTTTTTTGTACATTTATTTATTTACTTATTTTTTAATTATTAAAGCCAAAGCTTTTCACTTGATTATAAATAGTATAAAATTTTAATATAATTATTTTTATCATTATTTCCACCCGGTACAATATACAA